GTAACATGGCTGTGAGCAGCAGCCAGCTGAGCAACAGAGATTCACAGGGATGTTTACATGTATGCGAGGATACTTTTTCTACAGCCCCAAGGTTTGGTGGGGGAGTGGGTGTTGTATAGTGGTTCAAAAACAAAACCCTTCAGAATATCAACAACCAGGGAGTTATCTGTAAAATCCCAACTGCTGACATCTAGATTTTTTAGAAGGCGGCCTACCTTCTTACCAAACAATCATCCTTCTTTCTAGCTCTGTCTCCCCCAACTACTCTCTAAAACAGGAGTCCCCAAACTGTGGCTGTGGTCTGCATTGAGTCCTGTGCCCAGAAGAGCTCCACTAAGTGACAACTCCATTTTTTTGGTATTTTCAATTACAAATTTGATGATAAGGGAAACATGGGTGCCCTGTGAGACATTCTGAGGGATGACAGAGTCACGGTGGTCCAAAAAACTTGGGAACTGCTGCTCTAGAACAGTCTGCTGCTGCAAACAATGGTAGGAGTGCTATGGTAGGAGAGGCTGTGTAGCCACAAAAGCTGCAAATGTGTTAGCCTGACCTGCTCTGAGCAGGATTAGGTGGCCATATCCTAGTTGTTGCCTCGTGGTCTCTGCTAGTGCTCCCTCTATTGCTACTGCTAGGGGACAATATTGTGGATGGCAGTAGTGGAATATATTAAGGAAAAGAGTCAAATGTAGACATAGCCTATGTAAGGTCATGATGGCCCTATCCCACTTTCCCTTACTGAAGGAATGTTTAGGGGCATATTGGTGCTTCTGAACAGTTCTCAGCTGATGTCTTGGAGACTCTAGCTACTCAACACGTAAGGCCATGGCACGGAAAGCATTGCCGATGTTGTCTTGTCCGTAAGTCCCAACCTTCCCCTTGAAGAGCCATCCTTTTACATAAGAATGAAAATGAAGTTATGTGGCCCATTCAACCCTGGACTTCCCTGCTAAGAATACCAGGAAAATAGCCTATCACTGTCATGGTTTCTGTGACATGGATGTCTGTCTACAAGTAATATGTGTACCTGAGAGCATCTCAGAACACTGCATACAAAACAAACCTTTTATAAAACATTGATAAGTTAGTTAGAAACTTTCATGGCAGAAATCAAGTTTTCAATACTGTAAACCCAGCCAGGACTAAACAACCATGCAGTTTAGTGTTGTGAAAGTTAGAAGCAGTTAGAAAACAAGCAAACCAATCAAAGCAAGTATACATATATATAAAAATCATATAAAGGAAAAGCAGCCATCCATACACAAGTCATGTCAGGATGGGTACCCTGTACCTTTAAAGACTCAGTACAAGAGAATGAAAGAAGCAGAAAGCTGATCATGAGACCTTCCCTTCAGGGCTGGTGGCAGTAATGAAAAATCTGAATGAAAAATGGAGTGACATCACAGTAAGTCACGCAATCAAGTATGAGATGGCAGTGATTAGAAAGACCCTCTGTGATCCTGGGCCTAGGCTGAGATTCATGCTCAGAAGTTGCTTTACATAACCCTTGGATTTTGACTCTATGCCATTCAACAGCTGGATAATGTAGGACTGGCACTGAGAAAGAGCTCTGAAAAGGAGATAGGCTAGGTCATGGGAAAATTGCTGGCCATCAGCCTCTTGACAATGCAATCTTTTTTTTTTAATCCTTCCTCTAAACCAGTTAGACTACATAAGAATGAAGCCTTACCAGCTAAGAAACCAAGTCTCCAATTCTTGCCCCACATCCTTGGGTTAGACACCAGGGCAGAAGAAAATACTGTTTCTAGCAAGTCTGGCACCAATACTGATTGACAGCAAACGTACAGGATCTGCATAGTGCGTTTTCACAGGACGGTGTGGGCTGGGAGGAGAACAGAATGCAAGACTGACAGAGCAGCTCCTTTAGCAATACTAGAAACCTAAGCAGTTCTTTCACTTCCTCCCCAGTAGTCCGCTGTCAGTTTAGCCTGAAGAACTACACGTGTCAACTGGGAACTACTGGGGCTTGTCACTAGACTGGCACAGACTTTTGGATTATGATCCTTATCATAATCAGCTGGCTCGTATTGCACTTAGCCCACTGTGAAGGAGTTTCTAACGATTTACTGGCCAGCAACATCATGGAAAAATACCACTGCCAAATCCCTGTTTGTCAAATAGGTATTCACCTATTTGAATAGCTGGGAACTAGAGAGCTTCACCTTGCATACAAAAAACAGGGCAAAAATACAGGTCAAACACAACTTGACCTGAGCAGAGCCTGTGTGGTTCACAATAAAGGGCAGCATGATGGAACCTACTGCCCAAGGGTGGACTTGTGGTATTACAAATAATGCTAGCTACTGTCAACCACTATTTTGTACCAATTAGACATAGTCCTAAAGATTTTAGTGAGCTGCCAATTGGGCCTGCAGTTGGGCAAAATGTGGGCTGTGTCTCATTAATAGAAAAAGGTCTGAGAAAATCTATGGCCTGTCTGTACCACTGTAACTGGAGATGGGTCCATGTCTCAGTCTTTGGATCCACTGGACCCACACTCCCATACTGCCTCCTCACCCCAGTCTTTGGGAAATCATACACATCTGCTTTGAACAATTCTTGGTGGGTGGGTGTCAGGAAGAAACGATGGATCTTTTGTCCTTATAGCAGGAGACCACTAGAAAATTGATATATTGGGAGACTTGCAGAAAGTGAGGGAAGGTTTTCTGAGCTGGTTACAGAGTACCACTGAGACTGAGCAGCCCAGCAGCAACTGTTTGAGATGGAAAGAAAGAGGGAGCAGGGAGAGCAATGCAGAAGATGAAAAAGCTGACAGAGCGAGGATGGGTAAGTGCAGGCTGCTTGGGAAAGGAGGGAGAATGAGTGGGAAGGGATGAATGAAAGGGAGAGAAGCAAGGGAAGAAGAGAGGGGAAGTAAGGAAGCTAAAATGGTCAAAGCCTAGATACAAATAAACCCTATGGGTGGAGCACAGTCCCTGAATAGGAGATTATGGGACACCCATCTGGTCAGCTCATGTATGACTGGTGCTTAGCTGTAAATGGCCACTGCCCCAGTAGGAGCACAGTGTAAAGAGACAGATGGCAGCTGTAGAATGTGTCCATCTGGGGTCCCATTTTAACCAGCATCAGAATAGGATTATATTTGGTAAGGCAGGATTTAAGCCAACTCAGTCAAGGTGCTCTGGGATATACATCATTCAGAAAAGATGATGCCCGAAGGACATTAGTCATTGGGTGGATACTGAATCTGCTGTGACACAGGTCCTTCTCTTTTATGTTAACACTGTCACTGAGGGTGTGCCCACTCTGAGCAGGAACATTGTATTCACCACATGGGTATGGACTCTGGGAGAGGCAGAGAGGAAAGAGGCCATGTACGTTTAAAGAACATTTTCTGAATCTACAGTTTGGTCATATAACTTCTTCAGTAGGGTTAAGGACCATAAATTCTGGACATGGTACAGGCAGACTACTCAGCGCCTCTACTATTATTCAATGGACTGAAGGTTTGAACCATTTCATAGTGGAGGGTGAATTGTTGGGAGTCAGGGGAGAGAAGAGGGAGGGTGTTTTTTAGGGATAAAGTCTCACCTTCTGCGCACCTGAGAAGGCGTGGTAGTAACATGAAACATAGGTCATAATGGCCTTCTCATCCGGCCTTAGCGTGCCTATAATATCTGTGCAAAGAAGGAAAAGAGGTTGAAAGGATAAAGTAAGAAGCAGCACATAGAATAAAATAAAACAGTCATGGGTGGTGTGAGAGAGGGGGAGAAAACTTCCCATCATGCATTGCAGGACAGGCCAAACAGATTTCCATGCGGAGAGCTGGGAATTCGGATCAGAACGTGACTAGCAGGGTTGGCTCTGTGGATCAAAGCAGCACTCCCTTCTTCCTCCTAATATCCAGCTTTTGCTCCTAGCCAACTATCTGGGCTACATATTTTCACACCCTCTAGTCAGTAGGCTTGTCTCAGCTGTGACTGGGTGGGATTTATTTGTGGCTTGAATGTTTTAAGTATCTGTGGGTGTGTGTGGGGGGGCAGGGGGTGTACTCAAGTCAGATACTGCAAAGATCAGGCTGTTTGCCCACAAAGCGTACTTCCCACTTTTATTCAGTGTGCCATGCATGCTCCTCCGGCACTGACAGTTTGCTTGCTTTGGTGAGAGCATTTACAAGGTCTCACCTGCAAAGATTTTGCTTAGGTGATCATAGCAAGTAATTACTAAGCAAAAACCAGCAAGGGCACATCTGTCTAATCTCCACCACAGGGTGTGGGGTGGGAAAGGGAAGAGGAGGTGAAAAGCATACATCTCAGACTCAAAATATGGTACCTCCTGCTCCTGAAAGCACAGAAACAGAGGGTTGGTCAAATCAGTTCTTTAAACCCTAGATGAATCTGGCTTGTATTCAGGGTATAAAAAAGGACTTCAGGCTATGAGACAGCCTGTCCTATGGAAATGCACGTTAGAGAACTGATAAATCTTTGCAACAGTTTAGACCTACTCTAAAATACCTGTCCATGCCAAGCTCCACACCCTCACAAAACAGGAGATCAACATCAGACAACTCAGACGGGGTGCATTTTAGTGTCTGAATAGCAGTGAATGGCAGCAGAGCAAACCTAGGAAGAGTACTGCACCGTGAAGAAGGTCTGTATGTGATCTCCAACTCTAGACTTGTAGAGGTGGCAAGAGCTGCTACTCAGCCATTAGGCAAGGAGTCTTGTATTCCAAACCTGATGCCAGAGCTCCCAGTTCCAATGGATTAATGTGTGGTCTTTGGCCCTGTGCCCTGACACAGCTTCACTGATCTCTGAATTCATGAGTGTGCCCTATCAGCTCCTTTCCCCCTCAGCCCTGACACCAGGAGCACCGCTTTGAACCAACAGCCAACTCTGCCAAAAAATAATAATAAAGATGCCCGTAGCTAGAGAGGAGAAAGAGAAAGAAAAAAAGGTTTGGACATTAGCAACAGGACCAGGTGCGCTGTGTGGAGGGAGCTTGGAATCCTGCGATACCTTCTGGGCTCCTGAGAAGGCGTGGTAGAAGCTAGAAACATAGGTCATGATGGCCTTCTCGTCAGGGCGGGCCGTTCCAACAATGTCTGTCAAAAAAAACCTGAGGTTAAATGCATATCGATTGATGGGAAGACAGCAAGGGACAGGGAGAACCAGAACTGTCCAGGGTGCCTGGTATAAGGGGCAGGGAGTTACAGAAGAGTCCGTCTCCACACACTCTTGTGCAGGGCTTTCTGATCTGCATTTGCCTCAGGTAGACGGCCTCAGATGTCTACCCTGCACCCTTCCCTCGCCAGCAAAACTTCTCCCAAGAGGACATGAAAGCCAGGCGCTGGCTGGGCTCATGGAACCACAGTGTGTTTTGTGCTGGAATGTTTCCTTTCTCTCTTGAAGGACCTGCCATAGCTCAGCAGTCTGCTGTTGTGGTGCTAAAGTTTTTTTTTAAAAAGGAGCAGCTCCTTCATTTCCTATCACCCCACCCTGACATGAGGATGGCTTAAAATTCAAAAGGGGTCAAATGTACACAGAGCTCTCACTGATTTTACTGAGAGCAGTTCAAGATCCGACGACTATTATTCACACTGTGAAGATACAGGTTTGTTCCAAGCCTTCAGGGAGAAGAGCTGCTGGGAGAAACCCCGCACAGGCCAAACTATTCGTCTGTTAGTTTTACTGGGACCCAAACCTAACCCCAGTAATTTACTGGATTTCTAAGGTGACAGCTGCAAAGCAGGAGGAAGCACTCGCATAGAATTCATGAGTCTCCTGAGGGGTGGAGAGGGGGCACTCACAATGGGAAGCGAGGGGTGTGAAGCAAGACTTGTTACTAGGATTGGGACAACCTGTGCTAAAAGGTGTGCCAGTAAAATGTTGGTTGCCTAAATGCTGATTAATCAAGTTTTAGTTGCATCTGCCCCACCACAGAGATGTGCTATTTCACAAAGGCCATTGCTACTCTCTACATCTTCCTTGCCCAAACCAAGATTGGAACGTAGCCTTCCTTTTCTAAGCCAGCTGGACTTGGGCAAAACAGTCACCTTTTAAATTAATTTCTGGTTGGTCAACCATTGTTTGTGCTCTAGAGTTGCAGCCCCAAGCCAGAGACCCCACATGTCTCTAAAAGGTCTTCTTGCCCCAAGGCCTTCAAGTAACCAGCTACATTGTCAGTGAGAGGCACTTCTGGAAAAAAGTAGATTTCCCTTTGTTTCCAGAACCAGTTAATAGCATATTCTCATGCCTCATATTGCTGAGCAGTTGAGAAGGAATCAGTTTATAGAACAGTCTCAGAGAAAACAAGGGAAAACTGGCAAAGTTGATCTCACTGAGTTTGTTCTCTAATTCTCAAAAACTGCATCTGTTAGATGGAGGTCACCAACTACACCAGAAGGGTTCAGAACATGACTTCCAGAAGAAGTGGCACCAGACATAGGGTATCCAACACTTTACTGTTCTTGGACATACCAAGTCTAGATTTGAAAGGGATAGGGAGCATAGGTCTCAGGTAAGTTTTAAGTTCATGGCAATAAAATGAAAACTATTACCCAAGGCAGCAGTAATAATGCAGAACTCTAACAGAAATGACAAATTGGTCTAAAGAACAAGAGGATGCCTGTAGCCAGGACTCTGGACCATGGAAATTGAAAACTAGATCAGACACAAGTTGAATCCCTTTGGTTTATCTGATTAGTAGGGCACCATGGGCCAGAGACAGAATGTGCTGGTGTCTCAAGCATCCTGTTGAGGCAAATGAGACCTCAGTTATATTTGGGAAGCAGCAATTTGGATTGTTATGCATTATATAGAGATATCATTAGATCTGCTGTTCGTTCAGAATTTAGTTTGATACCCAAAATGGAGCCTTACCCAGCCACCCTCACTCCTTCCAAAAACGCCCCCCCAAACAAACCAATAGATCCAGGTATTACTAATTTCTGCCTGGTGCATCAGCCCTGGGCTAAACATTATGCAGCAGACTTGGTGGGGCACAAAGAAAGAGAAGCAGAATTAGTGATTATTTTTTTCTGTTGTAACATTTGTTTGGTGTGTGGGGAGGAAGGGATTGGTCAGAGGGTACAAAAATGTGGTACAATACAAGTCCACCTAGAAGAAGTAGGACACATCTTGGGAAGACCAAAGATAAAAAAGTAGATTCTACTTTACCTTCTGCGTCCAGCATCTTGGGGATATCCAGGTACTTCTCAGCCACATCAAAGGCAGTGTTTAGGTTAGTGAGAGGATCATCCTAGGAAAAGAAGAGTCAGATTGTCAGCCTCAAAACACCTCAAGAGGAATACTACGCTTCTTTGGAAAACAGAAAGCAAGGTAATTTGATGTGGTCCAGGTACCTTGGTCTACTGACAAGAAGACACACATGAAAGCCCTGCTGGAGCAGACCCTATTAAGAGGTTAAATAACTAGGTTAATTTTAAAGGCACGGTCTACAGATTCAGTCATGTGACAAGATTAAGATGCCATCTAGTACTTGATTGGTTAGGAATTAAAGTTGCAAACAGATGAAAAAATATCCTAAATAGGGTGGGATTTATAGCTTTCAGAGCCAGAAGTCACCATTGTGCTCATCTATCCTGCAATGATTACACCCTCTAACTTTTCCAAGTTAGAGACTTGTTTTTCAAATGATATCCAGTCTCTATTTAAAGGGACAAAACACGGGAAAATACCTATTGCTAATGGTTATTATCTAGCTCTGCTAGGTCACGGGTATCAAACTTATGGCCCACAAAGCCATGCTGTGTGGCCTGCCTCCAAAATCTAGAGCAAAGAGCTCTGCTTGTGTTACATGTTTGTGTTACTGTGGGGGGGGCAGCGAGTGAGTGATGGCTGTGTTAACTCTCGTGGCCGCCACTGCCACATTCAGATCCAGCTTGTGAAAAGCCCTATGGTCCAGATCTGGCCTGGAGATTATAGAGCTGCAGTCTGTGCCTTCATTCAGCATTCCTTGCCCAAAATGTATTAGGATTTCTTGCACCTGCCTTCACCACTCTTGGGCTTCTAACTAACCTGGGAAACGTACATATAGTTGGCAGTATATACCAAGACTCAGCCTCCCTTCACCACCTCTGAACCAAGTGTGAAAGCACTTCGCCCATTATTCTCAAGGAGGCAGGTCTATGCTTAAGTGAGGAAACCACCTCAGAGTACAGACAGCATAAAACTGCTGGCTGTTGCTCTGGTCATTGTGAAAGCTATCTGTGCTTTAGTGCTGCCTAACAGCGCTATTTTGTTGTACCATGAACAGGACACTTGTAACTGTGAACATACCGGTGCATCTCTATACACCTAAGGCCTCTATCCAGAGCTCCACCCTGACACACAAGAGAGGGATTTTAAGTAGCTTCCAGTCAGAAGGAACTGCATCGTAGGCCGGAGTTATGAGGCCTGTATGTGCCAGCTCCACCACAACTGTCTTGTTCCTATCTATATCAGGAAGAAAACATTTGAGGCTGTACCTGCTCATCAGGAGCTCAGCTCTGAAGTGCTGCAACTAGTAAGCACATATGGGTATTTACTCACCTTGTGTAGACAGGGCATTAGACCCATTGCTTGAGAGAAAAATGAAAGCCCAACATTCATTTAACCATATTTTATTAGCCAGCCTGTTGCATTAAAATGAAGGAGTATACCAAGCCCCACCCACCAACACGTATCTTAGCTCATCCCCTCCATGGCATTTTCTACTATGGTACAAGCAATGCCATTAACAGTATCATTTCTCAATCATAACTGAACGTGAACAGTTTGGCATTTTATGTGCCTGAAAAAACAGAAAAGCCTAGTATTGCTTCTGTTCATCAGCACAGAGCCATCTGAATGCGCATTCTGATAAGCATGCTCCTTTGGGAAAAAGAGGAGTGAGTGCATTAAGTCAAACCATATATAAGGGTTATATAGCTAAGAGGAGTAGAATCAAGTTAAAAGGAAGTTTTCATTTGAAAGTTGGGAGAGGCTTCCTGACAGGGAATGTCTACAAGCTGGAAGGGCTCCCAGAGGAAGTGCAGGAAGGCCAAACATGTAGGAAACTGTACAATCACTTTGATCGGTCAGTAGGTTTATATTTTCTACGTAAGATGCAAGATTGAAGTGATCCATCTGGGAATGGAGCTGATGAAAGGAGGCTATCCAGTGTTCAGCAAAGCTGAGTTTACAGATGAGCTAGGATTCAGGCTATGTTACTTAGAAGCAGAAATGCTTTGAGCAGGTGCCAACCCCTGGGCTCTGTCAAATGCCAGCGTCTTGTTCTCCTACGCAAGAGCTGAGTGTGGGACTTTTTTGTTGGTGATGGACCAAAGGTCAGAAGGGAAGTCATACAGGCTTTACAGTACTTTAGTACAGCACTTTAAAGATCATCTCAGCAGACTGGGGTATTTCTGCTAGACATCTCTGCCCCTTGCCCCTTCTTTCCACACACATACCCCACCATATAAGACCCAATCCCATGTGCTTTGTAAAGCACAGAGCCCTAGAAGGAAGCTGAGATGTTACGCGGAAGATCTGGCTTTCATTATCTTTCAATCTGTTCAGGTTATCACACTGTGCCCATCACTGTGCTGACTATGTGCTGCATTACACATTGCAACCAGTCTCTGTCATATAGTTCTTTCCTCCTCCTTTCTCTTCATTTCTCCAAAGGGAAATCCACTGCAGGCAGATTTAAAATAACAACAATTTATCTGCCATGTAATATTTATATTAATGAAGGTAAGGTTGGAGTGCATATCACATTTGCAATGCAAAGCAATGAAGTTTGAGGTGGTTCTGAAAGCCTGTGGGAGTTCAGTCTACAGGCTTGGACTGGCCCCAGGAAAGCACCCTCTCTTGCACAAACAAGCTTTACCTTTTGCAGTTGATAGCTCTGCTGTGCTAGAGAGACAGAGCTCTCAATCCTGGTCCTCACCCTGGAGCTATAGACAATTTTCCAGGTACACAAGACCAGAAAGCTAACAGGAGATTCTGCAGGGAACCAGTGCAGTGAGCAGAGGACATGTACCATGTTTTCATGGTAACACATGCTGCTGTGGAAGATATGCTGCTGAGTCTTGTGGCTTTCTGGGCAACACACATGTAGACTGCCGGGGTCTAGCTCAGTCAAGAGGTAATGCTAGGAAGTGTTTCTGAGGTCAGGTCACAATCCTTCAGGATGGAAAGTAGTTTCCTAGCCAGCCAGAGAAGGTATAATACATTGCTTTTGTCTGCTGCTTCAAAGGAACATAAGCAAGGCATACGTTATGGGCTGACTGGACTAGTGGTGAGCGTGCATCTCCTACCAGACTGCTTAAGACCTATGATGCTGCTGTGGGCCACAAGTCTTTATCTACACTTACCTACACTGCAGACACCAGTCCTTCTGCAGTGAAGATATGTATAGGCACAAGACAGAAGCAGAGTGCTGTAGAGGAAGGTGTTGAGAAGGGGACAGGCACTAAGCTGCATGCCTTTTGATCACACTGTTTCCCTGGGGTGGGCTAGACTTTCCCAGGCTAGAGTCAACCAGGCCTGTGCAAAGTGGCTAGTATTCGCTTCAGATTTGGATTCAGCCGACTCAGAGGACAGTGATTCGATTCGGTGAGTTGAATCACTGTTTTGAATTGATTCGGCCAAATCTGATTTGGGGATTTGGCCGCAGCCGAATCAGCTGAATCTCCAAGTCGGCCCCATCCCTCATCTGCTCTCAATGGCAGCCCTGTCCGCTCTCCCAGATCCTGGCTCTTTAAAAAAAGCCCACATGCACTGGCTGCTGCCAAGCGAGGGGGGCGATCCCTGCTGCCCCTCACAGCCCCACACAATATGGGGGGACTCTGCCACGAGCCCCACAACCCTTTTCTGCTCTCCCAGCTCCACTATGGCTACACTTCACGCCCCAGCTCCCAGCCCTTTTAAAAAACAAACAAACCCCGATTCACCAGCTCCTGCCAGGTGGGGCAACAATCCCTGCTGTACCCCACTGCCCCACGCTGTGTGGGGGAGGCTCTGCCATGAGCCCTAAGAAGCCCCAAGGCTGCAGCAGCAGCTGGTGAGTTGGGACTTTTTTTTTTTTAAAGGGCCAGGAGCTGGGGAAGGCGGGGCAGTCATGGGGGGGATGGGAGAGCAGGTGGAGGTCAGGGGGCTTGTGACAGAGCCCCTCACTCAGCACTGGGCAGTGGGGATTGCTCCCCCCTGCTTGGCAGCAGCTGGTGAGTGGCAACTTTTTTTTAAAGAGCTGGGAGCTGAGCTGGGCTGGGCAGCCATGGGGGGTGGGGGGACTGGGAGACTGG